AAGAATCGGGCTTTTGAGTCACTTAAGAGCCTGTCGACAGTGATGCGCTGACCATCGCCTCTCCGAGACGAGGATGCCATATTATTATTATTACCAACTTAAAATTCTTGGGGTGGGTGGGAAAAGGTCAGTAATCACATACGCAACAGAAACAACTGCCTGCCAAAGGTCACATGACCTATTCCCAGGCCCCAGTGGTGCATGAGAAAAACATTTTCTACTTATTTTGTTTCACTCAGCTAGTAAAAAAATTTACCTCTTTGCATATTCTCTTCAATAGGTTTTGTTTTATGTAACAGCTATGGACTACATATCTCAAATAGCTGTGCTTTATTTACATTACCCAGGATAATTCACTGATTATGTATTGTGTATTAAAAAAAATAATCCCTTCATTCCAAGTTCAGACTTGACTACTGTAGGCAATGCATGTTCTGTAAATAATGTATATTGATAAGCTCTAACCTCACACTGAATGCATACAAAAAAGTCATGTGGTTGATAGAATGCCTCTGGTAAAAAAACATGATATAGAAAAGTTAAGGCATCACGTCTGTTGTTGTCATGCTTAATTTCTGTTGATTTCTCAAACTAACCGAACCAGCAGAAGATGGACTGTATGCTGCAATGTCTGCATATTGGTTTACTGAATTTCACAACACTTTACTTCTTGTTTTTTTTTTGTTGTTGTTTTTTTTCAATTCTTCAAAGCTCATCTAGTGTGTGGTTTGCATACTTATCAATGATACTTAGAGGAAAAACAAATAATGGCTAACAGAGCATCTGAAACATGACAAAACCTAAGATTCGGTCTTTCAAGACCAGTCAATAACCAATGAATATTTCAAAAGAGTTTAAGTTTGCATAGTTCTGTACCTTTAATTTCTAGGAATGTTTGGATAGATTAGAACAATGGCCTATTTTCTCTCCTTGAATTGCCATTGACATAACCAGTTACAATGTCCTAAAGTCTGAAGCCCTTTTGTTGTTTTTCCTCAATTATGTCACATTTTACACACCTGTATAGTATTACACTCAGACCTTTCCAAAGACCCTGCAACAAAAACATCTAAAATTCACAAGTGATGGCACAGTTTAATTAGTTAAGCATTTTCTTGTTAGTACTTAAGGCTCTTGTTTAGTGTCCTCAATTAGTCTGCCAGGGCTAAATACATTTGACACTTAAATAAAGGTTCTTTTCTTATCTTGTCTTAGTTGTTAGGCCACTTACATTGAGTTCCATTATAGTCATGAAAAGAGGGTCTTGTAAAGGTCTATTAAGAGTCACTTACATGATTTTTGTACTTGTTATTTCATGTTTACACTAAACAAAACAAAAAAAAAGTATTCAAAAAATAGCAATGGGCCAATTTTGATACAGCACAATTCTAAATTGGTGCTATGGCTTAAGGGAATAAGACAAAAGAAATTACAGTGAGGTTGGAGAAAACATAAATTCTTTTTTTATCCCTCAAAGTTTCAGCACCAAGTTAGAATTTTCACATATCAAAATTGGCCTATATTTGTCCTTCATGCTTTATTTGTTTTTATATATATTAGATAGATTGTTTGTGTGTGGGTTTCAAATGATGTATTATATCATCTAGAAAATAGCCATTTTACAAGAAAGTATTGTACTTGGATGTAATGTTTGTCAAGCATTTATTAAACACAAGTGACTCAACAATCTCATGTGTGCTTTTTTGTGTAATGTTGCACTCCCACCTGCTAAAAGCTAGACATTAATAAATTGTGCTGATGTCATATTTGACCTTTTCTTCCTATGAATCTTTGCTGCTTTCTCACAGGGCTTCTCTCTCATCAAATAAGACATGTTATTTTATAGAAATATCTCTCTTTTGTTTATGTGGAGGCCATTTGGAGTGTTTAAATATGTAGTCAGTTAATGGAAGCTCTGGACACAAAGAGTCTTCAGAAAGTGCTCAAAGCTCTTCTATAATATCAAATTAGAGATGCATGCAACAAGTACGAAATAACTTTTTATTAGTTTTCAAATGTATGTATGTATGTACAAAAGGAAAAAAAATGATACTGATCTGAAACATAATGTGACTAACAGGTTACAATTTTATCACTAATAAAGATTATAATATTACTAAATAAAATAATAGTATAAAAACAATATCAAACTTAATAAATTAGTTGGTCAGTCAATCACTCAATTGAGTTACTCAGTCAGTAACAATCAGTAAAGAGCTGCTTTGCTTTTAAAACCAAACAAAAATCATCTGGCTTTGACAGCTTATGATTTAAAAACCAATAAAGTTTATTACGAAATAAATAAATAATAACAAAACATCAGACCCAAAAATATTTATTAATAAATTAGTTGGTCAATCATTCACTTACCGGTAATCTTGTTACTGACATAACTGACAGTAATAAGCTTCCTGACTTTTATAACAAAAAAATAAATAAATAAAAATAAAATAGATACCCAGATCATAAAGGTAAAGTGGCAGGAGTCTTATCATAACCCTAACATTATCTAAGCCCAAGCCAAATTTGACAGTAAATTAATATCTACAAATTTTGTATCAATAGAAGTTTTATCCAGGGGCAATTTTGAAAATGCTTACACTTGTTAAAATTTTGAAACCTGGTAGCTAATATTGTATTACAAATTACATGTAATCTCAAGATTACAATAAAAAAATATTTTACTAACATTAAATGCCAATGCATTCGTTTTTCATTAGTACATTATACAGTCATGTATCTACAAATTGTTATTTGAGTTGAACGTCACAATTCAAGAGCTTTCTCCTTAATAAGTTTTGCATTTTTACTGTCTGGATATGGCTCAGTGGTCTGTCACATGAGCTGTAAACCATGCGGTAATTGTAACTCACTTTATCCTGTCCTACATCATGGTAACGTTCAATGAACCAAACATCACATACACATCCTTGCGTGGTTTCATAGATATCCTGAAAGAACTGCTGTTCTGTCATATGTTCAGTTATCCAAAAACTTATGTCATGGATGTAGGTTGGAGGAAAGAGACTGAACGGCACAAACTCTTTCCCAAGGTCTGGAAACTGCTGACTGACCTAAAATATTATTGAATGATAGAGCTTTAAACTTGGAACAACCATTTTATAACTCAACAATAGAAAAGTTATAAGGAACTGGCTCCAGTTTTATCAAAACTCAACCACATGGTCGACACTACTTAAGCAGTTGGGTTCAAATCCCATTCAGGCCTGAATTTTTTTTCAGGCTTAAATTTCACAGCTGTTTAAGTTGTGTGCATAACTGGGATGATCAATCATGTCTTCACATCTTTCTC